CCGTCCCTGTTCCGGCTAATACACAACCTTCCTTCATGTTTAAAACCAGACGATTTTCTACTATAAATTGCAACTGACTATAATACCAACAATATTCGAATTTAATATGAGAATCTTAATAAAAAATAACTAGAAAATAAATATTTTATAAAAAAAAAAACACCCTTGAATGCGACCCCTGTTGTGTTGAATGTCTGTAGAGTTTTTTAATTTGTAATGTAAACGGTCTCGTCCTTCTTTCGAAATACTTCTTTGTTCATTATTCACACTACATCGTCGTATCCCGTGTATACTGCCGTTAGCGAGGAAATGAAACTCATGCTGTACTCACTCGCTCTAGTGTTTTCTCTTTTTTTCCTTCTTTCCAATGACGAATGCCCGGATTTTCAGGAAACGAACTTTTCCAGGGATATCGTCTCATTACCATCGACACTACTCGTTTTAAATCAGTTTTAAAGTTTTCCAGTATAAGGTTTCTCTATAATTAAACAACATCCTAATGTTTTAAGAACTAAAGTATCCAAGTTTATTAGGTTCGTAAATTTTAACGAACGTTCTTTCATCCTGTTGTTCGACTTTCCAGATAATATTATTACAATATTATATTGAATATTTGAAACGTTTTTAATAATATAATATAAAAATTTTTCTACGATCACTATTGAAAGTAATTTGACATTATTGGTGTTCTTAACCAAACCATTAAATAATAATAATAATAATTAAAGCATTTTATTGGTTATGAATATTACAACCAAATGGCCATCAACCTAGGTCCTTCAGCTAGTACAATTTGTATGGTATGTAAGAAGGATTTATTATGAGCCATATTCTTAATGCAAAAGAATATGGCTCATGCTCACATACTTTGACACTGAATGATTTACCATTAGAAACAAAATATATTTAATTTTCATTGTTCAATGTTGACTTTACTTACAAATAACTTTCCCCCATTTAAATTATCAGCAATATTTGTTCAATCTTTACTTAAATGTCCACACCAGCACTCTACTATCCAGAGTGAACTACACGTTTTCCATTTAAAAAGCATTGGTGTCCAAGACCCTATAGAAATTTAAAACAGGCGATAAAATATGGATTAAAGCTAACAAAAATTCATAGAGTTTTAAAATTTAACCAGTCCCCTTGGTTAAAGACATATAGATTTTAACACTAAATTTAGAAAAAATTCGAAAAACGAATTTGAGAAGAACTTATATAAACTTATGAATAACGGCATCTTTGGAAAAAATATTGAAAATGTGAGGAAATATCTTAATGTGAAATTAATTCAGCAATGGCGGGAGCGTTATGGTGCCAAAGCAATGATATCAAAACCTAAATTTAAATGATGTTCAATATTTAATGACAATTTAGTAGCCATAGAATTACACAAACTGGAGATATTTTTGAACAAACCTATTTATATTGGAATGAGCATTTTGGATTTGGCTAAGACAACTATTTATGACTTTCATTATGGGTATATAAAAAGTGAATTTGGAAATAATTGTTCTTTTTTATACACAGATACGGACAGTCTAATCTATGAAATTCGAGATCATAATCCATATAAAATTATATAACATGATTGTACGCAATATTTTGATACTTCAGACTATTCACTAAACAACGTTTACGGAATTCCTCAAGTTAATAAAAAAAGTACTAGGTATGATTAAAGATGAAAACAGTAGTATACCAATGACAGATTTTGAATGGTCTTCGTTCGAAATTATATACTGTAAAAATTGTTAAAACTGAAGAAGAATATGATTCTGATGAAATTGAAGATATTTTGTTAAATGTTGAATTAATCAAGAAAGCAAAGGGCGTGAAAAAATCTATAGTTAATAGCGTAATAACTTTTGAAGATTATGTAAACTGTTTGAAGACATTTAGTAATAAGATTGTTTGGCAGAATTTAATTCGTTCAGATAAACATCAAGTTTATTCAATGACTCAGTAGAAAATTGCCCTTAGCCCCTACGATGATAAACGCTACTTGGTACCTGAATCTTATAATACCTTACCATGGGGACACTACAGCTTATCAGACGCTCCAACTGGACTTAATTAAATACTTTGTATTAAGAGTTATTGCTCCGATGTCAATAGCAGGAAATTTGTATTAAAAATAGGCATTCTGTTTTAATCCTAGAAGACACAGTTTTAAAGATAATACTATATATTTTTTTATGTGCAAAGAGAATAAGTGGCACTAGCCCTGGGTTTTCATACTTTTTTGAAAAAATTGTCCGTTTTGTCTACAAAAAATTATAAAGTTTATTAATTTTGTTTAAAAAAGGACAACTTTTAATAGAGAATTAACATTATCAAACATGCATTATTTTTCGAACGATTAATGTCAACTTGTAGTAAATCTTTTTCTTAATAAGATCAAAATATAATTTTTAAAATTGGACTTAATATAAAGCCGTAATCATTAAAATAGCAAAGTAATTTCGGATATAAAAATGATTGAAAAATATGATTACGATATCCCCTCTCAAGACGTTCCGTGTTGGTACCGAAGGATGGGTGCTGTTGCCTTCCTCGTCTACCTAGTATTGAAATTTGGCCAGATACGGAATAAGGGTACATTTAGGATCGAACTTAAATTTAGTGTTGGTGCGAAGAGGGAAATTTTATTACATGAGATAATTTTGTTTTCAATATAAAATTTGCAATGTTTCAATATATTTAAAACATAATTTGATTAGAAAAAATTAGGTAGAAGAATTATATTGGTATAGTAGGTATATATTATATTTTCTAAAATAATTCATTTTGCAAAGAATATCAACTAAGCTACTAATATAATAAAATCTATAAATCAGCCTTATAAATAATGTATTTAACAAATGTTTCATATTATATTAATAATTTACATTTTTTCTGACTTATCTGTGAATGAAACGTGGAGAAAATAGTTTTATTTACAAGTTTTTCCTGATTTTGTTGCTGTCTGCTGTTGTAGTGATCTGATAATTTGTAGACTGTATAATTGTTTACAGAAAGATATTTCCTTGAATGCCCTCTTTTCAGCATAGAATAAATAAAGCAAGAAGATGACATAATATTTTATTTTGTACAAATATATAAAATATATTAATTTACACCATTTAAAGTATAATATTATTCTGAAATTTTTACAATACGAATGCCTCTGTGTCACAGTATACCTAAGTATACTGTGTCTGTGACGCATTATAATGAGTGAGCCTAATACGAGTGAGACGATATGCCGAATGCATATAGCTAAAAAGAGAAAACAACACGCCAACAGATCCTGCAAACTGTCAAAGAACACATTAATTGGCGCGCCTCTCACAAACAATTTTTAGCAAACATCAATCTCTAAAAGGAGAAGAAGCCCTTTCATTATAAAAAAAATCTGATTAAATATGGGGGATTTAAGGGGGGTTGAAATTAAAAAAAAATCAAAAATGAAAAGCGATATCAACATGAAAGTTTTAGTAAAAATCAAGGTCTATAAGGAGATGAGGCCTATTGATTTTGAAAACAATCTGCTTAAAAATGGGGGTTAAGGGGGTCTGTTAAACTGCGAAGAGTATCATTTAAAATGCCAGGCATTATATATCTTTATTCTAGTTTGTGCCTGTGTAATATTATGTATTGGTTTGGGACTGATCTTTTAAAATAAACATTTAAAACATTTTAGTTCTTATTTTATTTGCCAATAAAAGGTATTTAAAAAATATATTTATATTTATCTGTGATAAATTGTGAAAATTATTAAACTTACAATAAAGCTAAAAAATGGTAGGTAAAGTTTCATATAAAATTTATTCATTTTAATTGGCTAAAATCAAGTCTATTAGGAACTACTATTTTTAATTCAATCTCGTGCCTGGTTCAACCGACGATTCCCTTTCCTGTTTTACCATTATTTTAGTTCAGGCACTCGTCGATAGATCTAAAAACAAGCAAGTCCAATCGTTACCAACCATTTTCGATCATTTAACACGTGCACTATTCGGAGTAAAGTTTTGATATGACTAAACTGCAAACAGAAGAATTTAATCTTGGCAACACTGTCTCTTTTCATAGCAGAAACCCCACCAACGGCAATACTACCGCGCATCGATATGTCGATCGGCAGTGCGCACCTGTTTTAGCCCAGAACCAACATTTCAAGCGCGTTAATATTTATTAAAAATAAGAAATTAAAATAAACTTTGAGGAAAAATTGACTTCATTACATTGGTTTTGTTGGTCTTTTAAATGACCAAGCTTGATGATTTTCTGAGACACATCCACTGCATTTTGCGTGGTTGGACACTTGTTCGTGGAATGCGCTTCAGAACATTTGTTGCATTTTTTTTGTTTCTGTGCAGTTTTCTGTTGAGTGGGAAAACTTCAAACACTTATTGCAAGGCATTAGGGCTGGGGACAGCGGAGAGCTCGTATTCACAGCATAATGGCGGGATTTGTAATGTAATCCTTCAGAGAGAAGTTTTTCGTAAAATTTTAGATTTTTTGTGATAATTCTTATGAAGTTTGTTGGAATGTCTGACTTTTTTGAGATGATTCGTTTACATTAGTGGAATTCCCCTCCAGACGAGGCCATTTTTTGTAAGATTTCTTTGTCCGATAATTCGTTTTCGACAGAGTAGACTTGAGTCGCTTGAAGTTTGGTTGTAGGGTATTGTTGCGCTATATTCCATAATTTTATTGTTATTTTTTAAGATCTTTAGTGCATTTTCTAATATCGTTTTAGCAGTATTACTTTTTAGCTGATGTTTTTAATATTATATCACTATTATTCGGTCTTGTTTCTAATACTAATGGTATTATTGGTGTGGTGAGAAATTTATGGATCTCCCTGTATATCTATTTGATGGAATATTATTATTTTGGTTTTGGATTTGCTTTGTGTTTTTCTTTATAAGAAACTACGGAATACCCTTCGTTATCTTTAACTGATTTTTTGGAGGTGTCGCTCGATTCATCGTTCTTATCTATTAGCCTTTTCTGGAGATTCCGATAAATTCGTCTAGCGATACTTTATTCAATTGCTGTAAATTCGTTAGCAACTCGTTGTATTTTCTTTTCATTGACGTGGAAATATCTTGATCTACATCCACCAATCCGGAGAATTCTTCCCCATCAGTTGAACTAGACGTGTTTTTTTTATGGACTTTGGTATTAAACAGTAAACTTATCTCTGCTACTTGTCTCACACAAAAACCGGTGTGGCTTGTTTGAAGACAACAAGCGTACTGGTCAAACCATTATATCCAAGACAATATTTAGTTGAACAATGTATAAATATATTTTAAAAAATAAAAAAATCCAAAATTATTATTTTTTGTTTCAGAAAGTACGTTCCTCGTAAAACTAACCAAAGGTTCCCGGGGCCTGGGTTTGAGCGTCACAGGTGGTATAGACAGC